GGCAAATCTGAGCCAACTACTACTACTTTAAGGCTAAGCATAAGAACCGCATCAAAATCAGACGCAACTTTCCGGTAAGTATTTGAAAGGTTTAATTGTGCTTTCCGTTCATATGCGTTCTAATGCCTGTGTTGTAATGCTTGCGTATCGATCATGCAGTGTGCCAAACAACCGGTAGGATCACAAACCTGTGGCTTCTACGCCTGTGAGATCCTGAGGGTGTGCAAGCAGTACAGCAGCAATTGGAAGGTGCTCAAGAATGGATTGAACTGGTCGAGAGACATGCAGAGCATCCAACACAGCTTCAAGCAGACAAAGGCGGACATATGTAAGTTTGTCTTAGACAAATGCGTGCTTGAAGGGGGCACGTTCTTCCATGAGAACAGCCAGCTAGCGATGTTACCGGAGTACGAGAGGCTGAGGAAATGGCCCACGATGATGCGTCCGCAGGATTACACTTTAGCGCATGTATAACGACTTTAATATGTAAATGTAATGAATTAACGATGACAAGAACGACTAAGTGAATGTATATATATATATACATGTATATTATTTCATGTGTAATGTCTGCATACTTTTTAAGTTTAATCTGTGAAATCTGGATGTGATTTGAATTTGAATTTGAATTTATATGCTTGATGTATTTTATTTGAATTTATATATATGCCTGCTTTATTTTTTTAATTCAGGAAATAATTTACCGAGGCGGGCAAATAATAAAGCCCGCCACGGCAAATCAACATAACCACGGCGGGTCACAAAAGGTGCCCGCCATGTTAACTCTATTTATCGCGGCGGGCGGTGTAACGTGCCCGCCGTGGTAAGTATATATTTACCGCAGCGGGCACGTTACACCGCCCGCGGTAAAATAAATTAACCGTGGTGGGCGAAGCCGCCCGCCGCGGTTAAGCCACGATTTACCGTGGCCTGTAGGCCGCGGCGGACGGCTTTGCCCGCCGCGGGAAACCCAAATCGCCCGCCTCCAGTAAACTTTATGTAGTAGTGATAAGATGCAAACACTCGTACGCCGTGATTATATTGTCTGTTATCAGCCTACCGAGTTCAAAAGCCGATTGTTCTTCTGAAATTATTTCCAGTAAAATCACCTTCACTCTATTCGCCAGTCTTAGAAGCAATTTTATATATCACATTGCAGTGGCTGATCGGTCGGAATTGACCCAGATCCTCCGGATTTGCAGCCTTTGGTATCAACACGATAATTGTATCATTAATCACCCTTGGGTCATCATCTCCTCGCAGAACACACAGTACTGCTGAGGTGACATGTGCTCCACACAATTCCCAATGGCGTTGGAAAAAATGTGCCGGAAAGCCATCTGGTCCCGGGGCCTTCGTGGGGAACATCTGAAAAAAGAGCTTCCTTCACCTCCGCTTCCGTGAATGGCATCAACAACTTATTATTCATGTCTGGCGTTACCTTCGATGGAACTGTATCTAACACAGCATCCATATTGTGTACCCCTTCTGATCGAAATAAATTTCCATAGAAGTCCATAGTCACTGCCCTCATCTCCTGCTCACCCGCAGTAAACTCCCCATCCGCTTTTTTCAGCTTTGTAGGTGAAAAAACGTCTATTTTTATCACCTTCAGCAAGCCACATAATTCTGGACCTTTGGCGCCACAGAATCTCCTCTCTATGGTTTAGTTCCATTACGCGTTCCTTGATTTTCAACTCAGCATGTGATGGTCCCACCCGAAGAGGATCTGACTGCATACGTTCCTGCTCGGCTGTTAGCTTGTGCAGCTCCCACCGAACATTACCAAACGTCGTTCTCTCCCAACGTTGCAAGCGGCCGCTGACATCCTTCAGTCTACGCTGGAGATCCTGTATATTTGAAAGCTCCGGCCCCTCCCAGGCCTCCGCCAACTTATACGCAAACTCATCATGGGTTTCCCACATAACCTCATACTTGAAACTCTTCTTCCCGTCTCATCTGATCTCCAAGTAAGAGTAATCGGGCCATGGTCCGAAGCAGCCGCGGTAAGATGCCGGACCGTGGCCAGGGGATAACGCTCTGACCAATCAGCATTAGCCAAAGCTCTATCCAAACGAACCCGACAGTAAGAACCGCCAGTAACCTTTTTTTTCATATGTACAATTTCTACCCTCAAACATGTTCGGACCGGTAAAGCCCTCCATCTGTGCGTTCTTGCACACCGACATGTTCGGACTGGTCAAGAACCTCATTAAAATCACCTATACATACCCAGGGAAGAGGAGACGAAGATTTAATGAATCTAAGTAGATTCCATGTCTTATGCCTCTCATTAGTCTGAGCCTCCCCATACACACAAGTTAATCTCCAGGGCTCTGAATCGCCCTCTTTTATGATGGCATCAATGTAATACTGTGAGTAGGGTAAAATCTGCAAACTTATATTATTCTTTCAAAAAATACCGAGGCCGCCACTACGGCTCCGTACTACTAACAACAAAGGAAAAATCAAAACCTAGAGTGTTCTTCAGCTACTCCACCCTCGCCTTGTGCACTTGGGTCTCTTGGACACAAAGTACAGAAGGGGCAACCCCTCTCGCCAGCTCACGAAGCTCTTTCTCTATCGCGGCGTTGCCAAGTCCGCGGTAGTTCCACCTTAGACAACTCATTGGAGTGGGCAGCACTCCTCGAGGGAGCCCGCCTCAACATCAGTCTATGCATTCTCTTTCTTTTCCTGGGTCCTCTTTCGTGCGCTTGATCTCGTGCGGTGACTGGTAGACCGGTGGTGGGGGAGGCCCGTGGGTTGAGAGCTCCGTTCGGCCCTTTGAATTAGAAGGCCCATGTTACCAGACATATTTGCATCTATACAATATAAGTTGATCTATCATTCCTATTTTTCTTTCTTGCCACAAACAAATTTGAGCTGTTGATTTCTGCTTATGATACAATCAAGGTAAAAAAAGGTTGATCTGGCGTTTGTAATTTATTTTCTTCCTTGCCACAAACAAATCTTCGCTGTATAATTTAGATGCCAGCAGTTAAATCCAAGATATTGAGTCGAACTAAGGGTCCATCTTACTTTGCGGTCTCCCAGGCAGGACAGTAGCCAGGCATCCATCTTGACGCCAGGCGCCCAAATAAAGCGCGTGTTTAGTTCCCACCCCAAATTCCCAAAAAGTGCTACAGTAGCCATCACATCGAATCTTGCGATATATGCATGGAGTATTAAATGTAGACGAAAAAAAACTAATTGCACAGTTTGGTTGGAAAATTGCGAGACGAACGTTTTGAGTCTAATTAATTCATGATTGAACACTAATTGCTAAATAAAAACGAAAGTGCTAAAGTAGCCCAAATTCCAAACTTCCCCAAACTAAACACGGCGAAAATTGGATGCCTTGGGAGGACATTCGCGCCAAGCAGACTTCCCTAGGATGCAAGCAAACACGTTGTAAATACACGTGCCCTGATGCGGTTCAGCACATCTCCAAGGTTTCCTCGTGTGTTTTAGAATGTGTTAGTCTAATGGTAGAGATTCTTTCATGCAATTTTCCGCAAGTGGGGGAATGCTTTTGTATTGTAATTTGAATATTTCCTACAAGCGAAAAAATAGCAAAAACAAAATTAGTGGCAAAAAAAAACTCCCCAAGAAAAAAGTCATTGGCCACTTTTTTTTTAGTAAAATAATACTTGTGAGCTGTGTAAATTAGATTGAAGTACGTATAAAACACTTTGGAAAGTTGAGAAAATTCTGATGAAGGAACTTGCCGTTGGCCATTGAAAGGAAAACACTGAGGAGGACTACGAAAGACTGATGCTTCGGTGCAAATTGAAATATTTCTTTTTGAACAAAAATTCACAATACCTTGCCAAATTCTATTGCAAAAGAAGAATTTTTTACATGCAACAGATCTGAAAAAAAAACTCTCTCCCAGTGAATGGTGCATGGCACCTCGCTCGCCTTTGATTTTGTTACTGAGGGAGATGGAGGATAGTTCCTTGTGTTGAAATACCCTTGAATTTCAATTCTACGATTGCCAACATAGACCACCAACCATGACGTTGTTGGTGCTTTTCCAATTCTCTAGAAAAAGCTGAGTGTATGAAGTGAGGAGGCCACGAGCATCTAGACGCGCTTAGAATATCGTCGACATGTAGCTAGAAGATGATGCGCTATCTCGGGCTCACTTTGCCAGAGGGCAGAAAACGTGGCAAACTGAAATGTTGGTGATATGTAGGCTTAAGTGGTAGTAATTGTTATTGATCAAGGCCCGCCAATTGGTCTAATGCACAATGTCACAATCCAAAGTAAAAAAAAAAAACTCTTTAGGCATACTTGTGTGTGGTACTATGGTGTGGCCGTGTTCTTGTTTGTTTTAGTGATCCTTTTATTTTTAGAAAAAAAAAACAACCTCTTTGTAATTTCTATTATCATATAGTACAAGTAACTCGTCTCATGGTGTATATGTATGATCATGTCACTAGACGTCTTCCAACTCTAGTGATACCGAGATCAACGTTCATGAGCAATTTCCTCGAATATGTTTCCATCAAAAAGAAAAAAAAAACCTTGAACATTTATGTTTTTCGAACTCGGAAAACTCAAGCACAAATTTTAAGCTCAAAATAACTTTTCTCTATATGTTTGGCTCTACATGCGTGCTACGTTCTTTGAGGGAAAAAATACGGGTATATGTGTGCCGCTCAGTGGAATCTGCACGCATAACACTTGCATAGTCCGATGACAAGTGGTCCCGAGCGACTAACCCGCTCTCAATCACACTGGCTGCACTACCCCACCGTGCAGGCGCCACCCAGGGCCATGGTGCCAATCCGGCAGCCTGTTGGCCTTCCAATGCAAGTTCCAAGGCCAGCAGCTCAATTAAGTCCTCGCCCACTACCCTGCCCCGGCGCCTCCGCTTCCCAACCAAGCCCTCCCTCTTCGTCTTCTCCCACCCAGTTCGATCATCACTCATCAGCAGCTAGCAGTGATCTTACGTGAACGCGCGCTCGCCATTTGCGGCGAGCCGGCCGGCGACCATGTTGTCGTCCTCGGCGATGCCGCCGGTGTCGCCACGGGAGCACGTGGAGAGGATCCGGCGTCAGCGCTACTTCATCGGGCGTGAGGAGCGGAATCCGCTGGCGGAGGACATGCACCAGGCCGTCAACTACCTCAGCCAGGAGCTCTACAGCAAGGATGTCCATTTCCTCATGGAGCTCATCCAGGTATCTTGCTATTCGTAAATCCACCTGCGCCCTGCAGTATATATATCCCGGTCCATTCCGATCTGTACATACTCAGACCGGACCGCTCCATGCATGGTTATTCCTTGTTGGGCAATGTGCCATTCTTTTGTGTAGCCAAAATGCAATAAGTCTCTACTCACTCGATCTCACTCAATTCTCAATCACAAATGATGAACAAGCACTCAAGAACACTATGGTATTGGCGCTACAAAGGGGCCACATGTGGTTCTTGCTCGAGTGACCTGAATTTCTTTGGTGCAACAACAGACAGATTAGAGTCAAACCAATTTTCCAGTTTTTTCTGTTTCTTGTTGCAAAACGATGTCTTAAATTATGCTAATTTGCATTTATTCACCAGAAGATAGACATGGTAATGAGACTGTCCATTGCTTTCCAGTGTGGCTTCTGGATTGTCAATATTCTGTTAACAATTTCAGGTCAAACAGTTACACCCTCTAGAGTGAAAGAAAATATATAGGGAATACCACGATGGTACTTATTTCTTTTTCAATTCCACAAATTAAGGTTTAACAAACAACGGTGAAATATTTTTATATCATGTGGCTACGGCCCTGTTCGCTTTGCTGAAAAACCAGGCTCAAAAGTACTCTTCACTGATTTGTTGTGAGAGAAAAATATTGTTCCTTTGTTGAAAAAGTACGGCCGATAAGCCAAGCGAACAGGGCCGTAGGATAGATGGATTAGCAGAGAGACCCCGGATAGCCTCCCTTCCTCGGGGTCTATCTTAGGATTTTCTTCTTGCTTGACTATAACTGATACATGATGATCCTTTTTATAGAGACATCATATTTGACCCCTAAGTAATATCCTAACCGAATCAATCTATCTTATCCCTTTACTAACTTATCTCTTTCCTAACTAATCCTAATCAATCTAATCTAATATGATCTATTATTGCTCATGCGGTATTTGACCCCTATAGTACCGCATGGGCCCCTGGGCCGGCTCCACTTGACGAAGCGGGATTTCAAAAATGAAATTCCGACTCTCTTGCCCCTCTGTGATAGTCCCAGGATACCTCAGCTATCACGGGCATCTATTTTTCAGATGATTACAAAGTCATACAACACATCAGAGTACAAAATTAAGCCTATTACATTAATCTAGTTACAAGCCCTTTGGACTAAAATCAAACAAAACACCGGAAATCAAATCGTAGTAGCGAAGCTTGAAGAGTCTTCAATCCACAGGCGTCCTTGAGAGTATATCCGGAAACCAACTACCATTCACAACACCATTGCGAGGCAAGAAATCTGCACACCATCAGATATGTGCAGGCCATGGTCAACACCGAATGAGCTTTGGTGGAAAATAGAAAATAAAGGGATCTGGTGATCCTAATAGTTTTGTTGTAGTTTACATCCTTAGCGCAAGCAGAAAAGCATAAAAAATAGTTGTATCTTCTCAAGTCCCAAACCACACTCTCATTCTCACCATCCCCTCATCATCATCACAAGTTACCACTCATCATCCCTCACAACACCCTCAGTCTCTCAGTCTAGTCGACGAGGTAGCCTCAAGCCGGACCTTTTCTTTAGGGGGAGAGAAGCAAAGCACAAGAGAAGCTAGTGAGCTGAACCCAGCACATAGGTAAGTGATCATATCTGAGACCGCGGCTATATGTATAGATTATTAACCTCTGCAGAGAGTACACTGTTACCCCACATGAACACCGCCGATGAATCACCATCAGCGATGAACACCGCCACCGCATACTAGGCCGACTAACACCAGCCCTGTCCACCAGCCCGAACGAAGATATATAGACGCCACTATATAAGCTGGGGTCGTGTCGTCAAGGTAGCATGGAGTAACCCCCCGCCCTCCTGACACTAATTGCACAGGGCCACAGACTGCATGCCTACTCACTCCCACAGAGACTGGTGGTCGCCTGCACTACTAGGGCAACGTGCCGTACCCACTTAGGCATGTGGTGTGTACGAAAGTATCCTGTGATTTATGGTTGCAACTTACGTCAGTCCTTAGGTTGGCCAGAGCAAGCATCTTCCACCAAACCATGTGCCCTCAGAGCACTAGACTCACCCCACAAAGGTGATCTATCCATCCACAAACTCCTCATCCCAATGTCCCTCGGGGATGCGCTGTCCCTCTAGGATTCTGTGTTCCCACCACAGGAATTACCCTTGGTGCATTCCGTACACAACGACAACCTCTCACTCTAGCCAGTATCTCCAAGAATCAGTTCGAGGGCAAGGAATATCTCCAGAACTCCTCACATCACCAATGCCCACTCAGGATTCACTGCTCCCGTCGCATATCAAACCATACCACATGGGGATGCCTCGTGGTAAAACCCCATCCATCATCCACATCACCCAAACATCCATCACACATCACATAGCAAGGAATTTATGTAATTATGATGGAATAAATGCAAGCAAGCAGGCAAGCATATTATAAGTACGAGCTCAAAGCTGGGTAATCAGGGTGAAGTGGTTTCAAGCAAGGCAAACAAGGCTCAGGCAATAGCATGCATCACATAATCTAGCAAAGGAATAAATATAAAGCGCTAGTAGTTCTACTTGGAATGCCTAATAGGATTCTCTAAGAAAAAGGTGCTGCCATGACACCTGCGGTGTAGAGGAAGTAGTCATATGCATCTCCGGAAGTCGTTGTCGTTGACCAGCGGGAGTCTCCTTCTCCATCCGAGCTCAAACCGTCGCTACGGAACAAAAAGCCGAGAACGACCACCAATAAGAAGCAATAAAACCACAACAAAACCTAACTCATCTAGACTCAAGAACAGCACTAGGAGGTAAGGCAGGTTGGCGGTGGACAGGAGGGAGTTGGTGAGGGTGAGGCCTCGGCTTGGGCTTTATAGCCCGGCGGCTAGGGTTCCAGGTGAAAGAGCCGCTGTCCGTGCCGCTTGATGGGACGGCCGGTGCACGTGGCTGCCATCCGAAGGTGCGGGCAGGTGGGCGAGCCGGGAACCTTCGAGAAGGAGTAGGGGTTCGGACGCTCCGCAATTTGCGGCGCAGGTTGAGGCTCGGTGGGCCCGGGTGGTGTGCCTAGATTCCACGGCGGCAGACGGAGAGCATCGGCACCTGCGGATGGAAACAGGGGAGCGTCGTCGGTACGGAGAAAGGAGAAGACGGTGTGGGAACGGGAAAAGCGACGGAGAGGAAACGGAGAGGGCAGCTGCTACGGCTGACGCACGGGTCCCACGGGAGCATGCACGTGAGAGATAGGGAGGGGAGCTAGGCTGTTGTTGCCGACTGGTGCTGGAGTTGGGCCGATGGGGCGCGAGCTGGGCCTGTTGGCCACTTGGGCTGAGCGGGAGCTGAGGAAGGGAGTGGGCCAGATAGGGCCTGAATTAGGAGACTAAGAATAAATGATTTTCCTATTTATAGGGATTGAGATTACCTCCAAGCACAACTAAGACAAGAACCAAATCACACATGCATCTATACTACATGATGCACAAGATTATTGTAAATTTAGTTGAATAAGGTGGGAGAGATTAGGATTAGTAAGGAAAAAGGTTGACTTAAGTTGACTACACATTACATGCAACACACATTCACCGGTTTTTTTTTTGAAAGTTGGGATTTTTATTACACGGAAACACATGATGTTACACATAACATGTGAAGCCATAATGCAGGACTGAGCCTTACAGAATCAAGAAAAAAGATGCCAAATGTTCTTTCAATTTTACTAATTTTTATTGTTAGCGTTTCAGTTTCTAATGTTTTTGCCCAGAAGTAAGTGTGATATGTGACATTTCATTGTACATTACTAGTTAGTAACTTCACAAAATCTGTTTACCATTTTGACTAAAATACCTTTTCATATGGTGTGACATCAGAATGCTGAGGACAATGATTATCCTTCTGGTGTGTTACCAGCTTTGGAGTTTGTAATCACATCGAAGGATATCACCTGTAGTGGAGCAACTGCAACCCTCTTGGTATTCAATAATGAGAATGGTTTTACTCCAGCAAACATTGAATCCATTTCTAGAATTGGCAAATCGACCAAAAAGTCTAACAGAGGTAGTGGTTATATTGGGGAAAAAGGTACATCCTTATGACTATCACCTAAAAGTCTAAAACTTAGAATCTGTATCATTCAATTTATTGGTTGACAATAACATTTTTTTTAGGGTCGACAATAATATTTTACAATGCTGCTTTTATTTTTAGTCATGCTCTTCTCTACTTAATATACTAGAAACTTCAGGAAATCTACTTTGTTAGTTTTATGAAATTTGGTTCTTTTTCATGCAGGTATTGGTTTCAAAAGTGTGTTTCTGGTATCCAAGAATCCCCATATATTTAGCAATGGGTATCAAATTAAATTTAGTGAAGATCCTTCAGTAGACTGTGGTATTGGGTATATTGTTCCTGAATGGGTTGAAGATTGTCCAAGTATTGCAGACATAATGAACATATATGGTTGTCTGAAAAGCCTCCCAACCACAACTATTATATTACCTCTGAAAAGTGATAAAATAGATGCTGTGAAAAAGGAGCTCTCCGGCACGCACCCTGAAGTACTATTATTCCTTTCCAAGATTAGACAAATTTCCGTGAGGGAGATTAATGATGACCTGAATGCTACTAGTCTTAGTCAAATTTCTATATCAAGTGAAGCTGATGCTTTAACTAGGAAGCAAATTGGTGCAGAGTCATATACTCTTCACTTATCAGCTTTGGAGAACAAGACAGGTGAGCGTCAATGCAGCTACTACATCTGGAAGCAGCATTTTCCTGTGAAACCAGAATGCCGTGTACAAAAGAGAGAAGGAATTGATCAGTGGGTTGTCATGCTAGCATTCCCCATGGTCAGAGATTGAGCCAAGCGATGGGATCACCTGGTGTTTATGCATTCTTGCCAACTGAAATGGGCAACAAACTTTCCTTTCATTATCCAGGCTGATTTCTTGCTGTCATCATCTAGAGAATCAATCCTGCTTGACAGCCAGTGGAACCAAGGGATACTAGAATGTGTATCTTCTGCTTTTGTAAATGCTTTCCTGGTATTACTGAAGTCAATAGAAAGTGCTCCAGCATTTGCTCTTCCACCTATTTTCAAATTTCTGCCACTTAATCACTCTTCCATAGTGCTGATAGATTCTGTCCGGCTATCTATAAGAAATAAGCTGATCGGTGTGGATATAATTCCGTGTGAGACCTGTTCTTCACTAAAAGTATTCCGTAAGCCTACAGAGGTTTTCCGGATAGAGTCTGCATTCTGGAGCATCATAAACAGGGCAGTGAAGATGGGAGTTGATGTTCCCAACATTTCATCGCATGGTACTCATATTCTGAATTCCTACTTTGACAGCGAAGTATATGATGATGAGTTGGGATTTCTTGGTATTGGTTATGTTGATTCTGAGTGGTACGGAAAGTGTATTCAGGGTTCAGATCTTGTGGCACTGCTGCCTGAAGACATTTATTTTGATCTTCTCACTTTTGTTGCTCAGAACTGGAAGGCTAAGTTTGATAGCACAAAGATGGAGAAAATACCACTTGTGAAGTGTGTCGGCAGAGGTGGTCTACTAACTTACATGAGTGTGTATGAAGCCACAAAGGGCGATGAGAGACTATGCATGCTATCTGATGAGGAATGTGTACCATTGATCATTAACTGGAATACTGAATTCTCAACAGCGTCTCGGACACTCTTTATGCCACTGTCTACTCAGAAAGCACTGGGTCTGTTTCCGAAGAAAACAACTGTAATGGAATGGCTTGAGAAGTATGTAGGAGTGAAGAGTCTGACCCTACATGAGTATGCTCTCGTTGTTGTTAAAGCTTTGCATGAGAAAAACATGGTTCTTTCTTTTACTCGATTCATATATCACTTGCATTCAGAGAATTTAATGCCAGAATGGAATGTAAAGCATATATGCAATTTAATGCCCATAGTTGACAATTGTGGTTGTGTCGTTGCTGCAAGAAGCACGGTTCTTGTTCCATCTAAAGGAAGTAAGTGGGCTGCATTGTTGGGCGAAAATCCATGGAAGGCACAAAACTATGTAGAACTTGGAGATGATTACATCTATGCTAGAAATTCCTCTGGGGAGCATACATGTGATGATCAGTTTTATCATTTATAAGGACATTTATACATGGCACTGATGTGCCTTTTCTGCTTCCCCCTGATGCTGGTTTTCCTGTTGCGTCATCTTCATTAACTACAGAGAAAGCACTTCTCCTTCTGGAATGGATTGAGAATTTAAGGACAAGGGGTATATGTATACCTAAAAAATTCTTAAGTTGCATCAAGTATGGGAATTGGCTCAAGACATCTGTTGGCTACCGTTCACCAGCAGATTCGTTCTGTTCAAATGCAGAATGGGGTTGCTTGTTTCAGGATAGAGTTGCCTTTGCTGATGTGCCAATGATTGATCAAGAATATTACCTGGGCAATATTATTGATTTCAAGGAAGTATTGGGAACACTAGGTGTGAGGTTTGAATTTGCTGAAGTGATGTCATACATAGGCAATCATTGTTTCATGTCAATGGTAACAGGTACTCCAACGGGTGACATGGTGTTATCACTGCTCCGTTTCATCAGATTCCTTGAACAGGAACACATACAGTCTGATCATCTCATTGAGACCGTCAGAGGCGGCAATTGGCTGAAGACTTGCTCTGGGTACAGATCCCCAGTCGGATCAGTTCTTTTCAGTTCTGAATGGACAGTACCATCTGAAATAAGCAGTTTACCTTTTGTTGACATCGATTTCTATGGCCCTGAAATCAGTGATTACAAGTCAGAGCTTGAGAAACTAGGAGTTCATGTCACATTAAAAAAGAATTACAATATCATTGTTGATAACTTCAAGATTCCAACAGGTCCAGTTACTTCTGGTGCTGCTACGCTATTATTGAAATGTATCAGATATGCCGACTCATGCAGGAACCTGGTGAAGGTACTAAAGAATCGACAATGGTTGAAGACTAATGCTGGATTTAGAGCTCCTCGGGAAACATTTATCCTCGATCCAGAGTGGAAATGCCTTGTAAAATTTGCTGATGCAGTTCCACTACTCGATTTGTCGTTCTATTCTAATGAAATCCTAACCTACCGGGACGAACTGATGAAGATAGGTGTCGTACTTAGTTTGGAGCAGGCAAGCAATTCCATAACCAATTATCTGAAGCAACTCTTGTCAACATCTTCCCTTACAAAGGAAATTAGACTTGCTCTGCTCTCATGCTACAAGGATCTGAGGGATGAGCACAAAACATTCCCTGCAGATATTCTCAAATTTATGCAAAAACAGAAGTGGCTGAATACTACACAAGGTTTCAGGACTCCAGACAAATGTGTGTTTTTTGATTCTTCATGGGAACCATTGATGGCAGTTGCAAGACTACCGTTCATTGATGACAGTGACTCGAGCAATGGCGTGGGGAAGGAAATATACAGCTATAAGAAGGAGCTCAAGGCCTTGGGTGTTATTGTAGGTTTTAACCAGGGAGCAGACTTCATCTTATCATGCCTATCTACGGCAGAGAAACCTCAAATGCACATGCCCAATGTTGTTAACCGTTACACTGGGATGATTGTCAGTGACTCTGGGATCACCAGTGAGAGCACCGAACAGAATGTAGTACCCATGTCTGTTGCTGACTGCCCACCTTTACTTGTGAGCTCAACTCTTGAATCTTTGTTGAAATGCATGCAGACATGCACCGATCCCAGAAACTTTGCAGCACAAATTAGAAACATGCAAATGAAAACAACTCTTGGATACAGGTATGCAGATCAATGTATCCTTTATGACTTGGCATGGTCTTCATATCTCCGCAGGGAAGATGGTCCTTTCATCGATGAAGCATTCTATGGATCTGAAATATTGTCATACAAGACTGAGCTAAGACTGATCGGAGTTGTTGTGGACATTGGCTACGGATGCACTCTGTTGGAACAGGACTTGAAGCACTTTTTGAGAGTGGATACCATAACCAGGATCTACAAATACTTTGCAGCATTTAAATGGGATCCTAGAAATAAAGGTCAAAGCTGGATTTGGATACCCAATGGAAGCAGCAGTGGCCACTGGGTGCGCCCTGCAGATTGTGTTCTTCATGACAGGAACGGCCTGTTTAGTACGCGCTTCTCAGTCTTGGACAAGTACTATGAAAAGGATTTGCTTGCATTCTTCTCCACTCTTGGTGTCAGGCACAACCCAAGAGTTTTAGATCACTGCATTCTGTGGCGCTCTTGGGAGTGCACATGTTCTGAGCTCACACCAGCTAGATGTTCATTTTTCTGGGAATTCATTGGAAACCGTTGGAATGCGACAACAGCAAAGCTCCTTTCAGGGTCTGTCACAAGAGTCCCTGTTCTATCCTGTGGCAAGATCATCCTGCGGGAGGTGGAAGATGTCTTTGTTCCAGATGATCTCCTCCTGAAGCATTTGTTTGATCAGTTTTCTTCAGAGCCACTATTTGTTTGGTATCCATCTGGGATATCATTCACTGCTCGAGCTAAGATGGACACTATCTACCAGAGCCTCGGTGTTCGAGCAATCTCCAAGTCTGTCACAAAAGTTGAATCCTGTGATTTGAACATGCATCACTACCAGGTAGTTGAGGCAAGAGATGCTTTTGTATCACCAGGCTTGCTCAGAATAATCCTAGCTTTCCTTACCAACCCCGTTCTTGAGAACGGTGCTGACAAGAGGCACCAAATGGCTTCTTACCTACTGGGCATGAAGATCTTTGATATGACCGAACCAATTAGTGTGAGCTACAACGTAAAGACATCATTGGGAAGAACTGTGACAGTTAAAGGACGGAGGATATTCAGGTGGGATAGGGAGAACCGCAAGTTGTACATGCAGAGGTCTGATGGGCCACATGGAAGGATAACTAGGATGGAGATGGCGACAAGCTTTGGCGAGGAGATCTCTCAAGGGCTGCTGTATGAAAGAGTTGATCTGATTCCGACTCTCACCGATCTTCTCAAGGTTGGATTCTTGGTTGATTTTGACGAGGATGAGGTTGAGTTCCTGCTCAGGACCAAGAATCTCCAGCTTTTTTCAGAGGATGAAGATTTTATCATGGGTTCATTCTCTTCTCACTGACTCAGGTTCTTATCTCAACTTAACATTAAGAAATTGGCACTGTTTTTTCTCGAATGTAGGTCATCGTTTCTTACCTGTGTAAAATACTCTTGTTACTTGTAGGACGATCAAGGTTGCTGAACTCAAACATTTTTTAGTGGTGTTGAACATCCTACATGTGTGAAAGGTCTGATCTAGGTGGGGTCCATATGATCTATATACTATGGACTACTGACAAATAACCTTCATGTAATATTCAGGTACTTTTACCATTTTGTTCTGGTCTACATTATTCTTTAGGTTTTATTTTTTTTCTATTCAATAGAGGAATCCCAATTTTACAGCTACGAAATACTTCATGCATGCTTTGAATATGGCTACTGATTTCTTTGCTACTATCTGCATGTTATTTATCTTAACTTTCTGTGTGAATGTTAGTAGTGATATATCCTTACTTTCTGTTTGTAAACGATGATTACCGTGCTTGATGGATTCTGACTTATATTCGATGTTACTTTTTTGCTCCTATTTGCAGCTGCAGTTCCAATGGTTGGCTTGTTGATCCCAAGCACAAGTAACGGCAATCTCTGTGGCTTCGAAATCTTAGCCTTTTTCATCTCAAACGCTAGCTTATTTGCTGGTTCACATTTGGATACGAATTATGAAATCACGGGATCGCATCTGTTCTTGGTAGTCTGTCAGTCTTTTTTTGTCGGTACTTTACAACCTGTGATATATCGTTGATATGTTTTTTTTTCTGATTATATAATTAATTAACGTGGCTAGATGCCGAAACCAGTATTCATGGCAATACGAGCAAAAGATGGGTGTATTTCCTTTAGGGACAAAAATGTGTGCAAATAATGGTTTGGTACATTGTTCACATATCTTGTCAACGTACTGCACCATTTCTTGTACACTTTTCATAACAGATCTAAACACACTTTTTTTTGCCTTATGAACTTGATGATATATATTTTAGTAAAATATGAATATAGCCAAAGAAAAACGTAAATCGAAACTACCACCCAAAATATTTTTAGAGACGGTCAAAATCAATTTATTTGGTTGGTTTTTAAAAAGCGTTCTTGAGGTTATAGTCTCCCTAGAGCAATTAATATGAGGTATTTGAAAAAAATAGTTTCCAAGTATTTGGCAAGAAGCCTAAAGTGCTCATATAGACCGATATATGTATCGCCCTTAGAACAAGCATGGCCGATGTATACATTGCCCTTATGTACTAGATAGCTGATGAGTTGGACATTGTTGCTATTTAGTGCCCTTTATGTTTATAGGTTCAAGCAATATTCACCTAAAAACAACGGGGCGTATGTTGACACTCAAAATGTGCCAATAGACATATTGGACTTTACCAATAAGTTTATGGTGTCAAGAGGATGTGAGAAAACATTTGGTGGAACAAGAATCAAAGCACGAGCGAAGAAAAGGGCAAAATTGGGCCGTGCCCTGCCCAAACTGGCCAGGCCGGTTTCCATGTACTGGCCAGTTAGGGTGCCTAGCACCGAGAAAACCGGCCAAGCCGGTTTCCCTATCTATTCGTAGTCCGATTTGTTTCCAAATCGGTTTTGAACATATTTTTAATATAGGAAACTTGGAGATTACGTGCAACACATATTTTCTATTGGGATAAGATCACCCTCTATATAAACGAGAGGATCACGGCCAATTAAGAGAGCTAACATCCAATCGACTTTTTTTTACATCCACTACCCTTTTTGTCCTACTATTCCAATCCCTTGCTGTTCGTTGCATCTCTCAGCGCTATCCAACCACGTCCTAGGTGGCCTTGTTGACCTAGGGCAACATCAGGTGTGCATCTCCCTGACGGGTTCTCTTGAGTTCTTGTGGCGAAGGACGGGCTCACTGATTTTGGAGTTGCTGGCTACATGTGGTAGGTCATGTGCAACCTCAGGCGTGCTAGCCCTTGCTGGTGTGGAACCCAATTCGCCGTCAACACTAGAGATCAATTTTATTTGCTTCTAAGCAAAATACGCTTCCACTATTCTGAAGCTGTGGTAGCTGAACTTAGGGCACTCAGCGAGGGACTGAGATTGGCAATTCAATGGATTGATTCTTGTCATTTTGGAGACTGACTGCCTATTATTTTGAAGCTCTAACTCTAATGATGACAATCGATTTAACCTTGCAGTACAACCAAAAGAGGCTAAATTGCTGATTGTCCATTGTAATAGAGTTTGTAATAGGGTTGCTCATAAATTAGGCCACATGCTTGTAAACATCTTTCTTCGACGGCGTGGCTCAAGCGAGCACCGGATCTTGTTGGCCATTCAGTGGCTGATGATGGTAATACAGTACATCTCTCAACTTTTCCTGCCAAAAAAAGATTGATGTCCAGTTGCTTTCTTTTTCTCTTCGGAAACTACGTTAGTACTTTTAATTTCGAGACAGTGGCAACACACAAAAATATGAGAGCTTGTAGGATATCCTGACAGCGTTCACGTGTATGTAATTATACAAATTGTGTTTGTTAGTGGTGTGAGTACCTCATGTCTATAATTTGATTACCTGAATTACATTAGGGCATATTTTGTTATTAATTATCCTTCATTATGTTTTAGTTAGGAAAGGATATTTTGAAGTCTATCATCTCTGTAAGGTGTCAATACTTCCTCTGTTCATATTTACACTAGAAAATGTAGCGCCCTGCAATAAGTATTATATATCAATTATTAACTCTTACAGATTAAGAATGTAAATTAACATATGAAATAGTGCAACCTCAGGCGTGCTAGCCCTTGCTGGTGTGGAACCCAATTCGCCGTCAACACTAGAGATCAATTTTATTTGCTTCTAAGCAAAATACGCTTCCACTATTCTGAAGCTGTGGTAGCTGAACTTAGGGCACTCAGCGAGGGACTGATCTATCATATCTGTTAGTACCATATGAAATTAACAGCATTATGGTACTAACAGATATGATAGATCAGGGCCGAATCAGAACTCAGAAATAACGCAAAGAGGGTCCTAACCACACAACCACCACCATTGGCATAATAGCTTGCCTTTAATTCTAAGTATAAGATGCAAAAGGACCGAGCAACAGAGATCAGGAACAGTAGTGAGCCGGCCAGCACCAAAGATCTGGTTTGCAGCAGCTCAGTAGTTTTTCCCACCAACCAGGAGTTGGTTCAGCAATGATCCTCCCCCGGGCATAGCTGCAAAGGTCTAGTCCACTGTGAACCATCTCAAAGGTTCACTGCACACGGCTTTGGGTCCAGCATCAACCAAGCTCCCTGAGATCGAGAGCCTAATGGGCGGAGTACATGCCACTTGTTCGGGCTGAGCTGAAGGGCGCACAACCCTTATCTAAGTTGGTCCGAACCTAGGACCTCTCTAGCCGGGTCGGCAATTGACTTTGACCTCTTAGGGACTCACATGTCAGCGACCTCCTGCTATATGACTCATGTCACATTGTGTTGCTGCCATGTGTTGGACTCCTATGATGCCATGTGTCCCTTTTTCTTCTAGGTGTGGAGAAAACCCCTTAATTCACAACTAATTCGTTTTACATATAAAAATTATGGAACTTGTACACAATTTTTCATAAAATAACCTCTATGCTATGGAGGTATGTTTGAGTGCATTTAGATCATGAATTTATCATTCTTTAGTTCTTATGGTTTCCACGCCATAGCTCCATAACATTGTTACTGTCAGTCATGTTTGGAACGCCAGAAGGATCCCCCGAGGAGGACCTTGCTGATTTAGGTGGTGTTTCAATTCAGGGCTAAAGTTTAGGGGTGTCACATCGGTAATCACATAGGGTGTTACATGGGAGTGTTCGGATAGTAATAATAAAACAAATTATAGAAGTCCTCAGGCATCCGCGAGACGAATTTATTAAGCCTAATTAATCCATCATTAGCACATGTTTACTATAGCACCACATTATCAAATCATGGATTAATTAGGCTTAAAAAATTCGTCTCACAGAGTAGTCGCAATCTGTGCAATTAGTTATTTTTTTAGTCTATATTTAATACTCTATGCATGTGTCCAAACATACGATGTGATAGACAAACTTTAGGGGGAGGAACTAAACAAGACCTTAGAGTACAAGAAGACATGAATGATGACTTGGATACTAATAGGTGTCAAGGTTTCACATCTCCTTAAAATCCTAATTAGACATTTCTATCCGAACACTGGCGCTTTAATTCCTTTTATATCCATGGTATTGATTGCATATCTGTCACGCCCGATTTTAAGGATAAAATAGCATGCATAATCTTATGTGCGCCCAGAGATCAGTCACACACATAAGCCGACAAATTATAAATAGTATCATCACAAGTGTTTATTACATCACGAATAAGAAGACAGAGTCTTCACACAAATATATCAGAAGTATAAAGATAAATCTCTTAGGGAAGCTCCATATCACAGGGACGTCGACTAGTTGATCACAAATCTAGTAATCCTTAGTAAAGTCATCATTACCATAGCCATCTGTTACCCATTCGGGATTTTTATCCAAATAATGAAAATAAACAAGCGTAAGTACGTGTCGTACTCATCAAGTGTAATATGGGGTTCATGAGGCTCAAAAGGCTTGACACAGGTTTAACAACATTCAGCTTTTAGTTGTCACAATTTTAGCATAAGAGTAGCAATAGGTTGTTTCAATTCCAAAGTAAAACACATGATCAATGTAAACAAGAATAATGAATAGCATAAACAAATAATTTTTAGTGATCATCTATTCCATAAGGGTCCAAGGCTGCTCGTAAGCGTGAGCACGACTGATATACCAGTTTTATACTCTGCAGAGGTTGTACACTTTCACTGTGAGTAGTGATACCCATATGCCCGGGTTAATTACTCCCAAAATACTTCCAAGGTGAGTAGGCAGGGGTCACTATGAAGCCTTTCAAAGGTTCGTCTAACAAGTTAGGGCTGCTAGGTTTCTGTGCCCTACGAATGTAGGGCTCCCTTTCCGACAGGCACAATGACACGCAGCCTATACACTGACAGACAGA